CATCAGAACTGGAGCGGGTCAGAACCGCCCAGGTCCAAAAGCTTTTACCTTTTCTACATCAGAACCTCCTGCTTCATCAGAACCTCCTGCTCATCAGAACCTCCTGCTCCATCAGAACCTCCTGCTCCATCAGAACCTCCTGCTCATCAGAACCTCCTGCTCTATCAGAACCTCCTGCTCTATCAGAACCTCCTGCTCCATCAGAACCTCCTGCTCCATCAGAACTCCAGACTCCACTTCAACAATCAACCAATCATCAGGTGCTGTCCTGAGGGAGGGGGCGGGGCTAATGTGTGTAACTGTGACATCATGAGGGAGCGCTTGTTTCCTCCATCAGTCCGTCTGTCACTTTATTTACTTTGTTTTTTCTTTTATCTCTGTTCAGTYTTATTTTTATTGTTTGTTAAACACCTGTTCACCTGTGAGCTGCTTCATCATCATCATCCTCACTTCCTCATCTTCATTAATCTGTTATTAAAAGTTTCTGTTATCTGACTGATCCTCCACAGGTCTGAGTCCACCTGTCCCTGCAGGAACATGAAGACCACCATCAGGAGTGGACTCTGTCTGTCCTCCTGTCTCTAAGGACCAACCAGCAGACCTCTGATCCAGACCCACAGCAGCAGAACCAATAAGGAGCATCCTCCTCTAAGCCCCGCCTACCTTTTTCCCAGAGTGCTGAGYGGCGTGCTGAGGTTCAGCGGCGCTCGAGTCGGGTCACGCTGTCGTCCGGCGGTCCTGACGGGCGCCGGCTCCTTCTTGGGGGACTGGAGTGGGGGGGCGGGGTTGCTGCCGGCCTTGGGTTCCAGGTCCTTCAGGACGTCGTAGTTGATCTTGGAGGAGATCTTCTTCTGCTCCAGCATCTTGCCGATGGCCTCGTCGGCCGTGCTGGCTGTGATGGGGACACGCCTCCTCGGAGCTCGTCTGGGCTGCAGACACAAGCTAACGCTTCAAAACAGGAAGTGGTGTCTTCACAAACAGCAGGACTTCCTGTTTACCCGTTTCTCCTTGTAGGTCCCGAGCGCCTTCTCTTTGGCTATCCTTGCTTCTTTTTCTGCAAACACAGGAGAGTTTGAGTGGTTTGGATCAGAACCTCCTGAGACCCGGGTCGGTTTCTGTAAGAACCTTTCTGCTCCTTCAGGAAGTCGGCGTTCTCCGCCATCCACAGCGCCGTCTTGACCTTTATCTCCTTCTCGCTCAGCAGGTACTGCAGAGAGACCAGAGGCCAGTTCAGACCGGACAGAACCCAAAGGACACAGACCACAGGCACCGTCTGGACCTGGTCCACCAGGTCCACCTTGTCCACCTGGTCCACCTGGTCCAGTATCTGATCAGTTTCAGACTAAATCAAAGCTCAGATAAACAGTTGTGGACAGAACAGAAACAGTCTTTATTGTCCTGCAGATCAGCAGCAGGTAAAGTTTCACACAAAGTTTTACAGTTTTTAAAGACAAATATAGGAAATAAATAAAAATTAACTAAATAAAATCAAATAAATAAAAAATTAGCTTCTAGAAGCTCGGTCCTGGTTT